AGATTGGGGGATTGAATTTAGGCCCTTGCGCTTGCCAGGGAAGCGCTTATTCCAAGGAGCCATCTCCCGGCCCCTGGACTCCTTTTTTAGAGTACTGGTGTTTTTGCTGTTAGAGCTCCTTCACTTCCTTGGTTATGTTAATTCCAAGGTATTTTATTTCTCTTTCTTTTTTGTGGTGCTTGGGGCTTTTCATTTCTCTGGGTGCTCCCAAGTGGTATCTTCTCCCTAACTTCTTTCTTGGTGAGTTCATTATTGAGGGGCAGGAACAGGGAGTACACGCTGTCCCAGCTCTCCTGGGACAGTGGGATCATATGCACCACAAACATGCACTAAAAGGCCATTTTAAAAACTAAAAGAGATTATTTAAAATTTTTTTTAAATGTTGAAACCACTTCAAACTTATAAAAGATTACAAAACCAACATGCAGATTCTTCATATATTTTTTTCATATATTTCATCTACAGTTGCCAATTATTTACATTTTTCTGTATTTATCACTTATTTTATTTTATTATCCACTTGTTTACAAATGTATATTCATATATTTTTGGAGCGATTTGTAAATAAGTCATCTTGTTTGTGTTTTTTTCTTTTTTTGAGACAAGGACTTGCTTTGTGGTTCAGGCTGGCCTTGAACTCAGTAGCAGCCCTCAAACTTATGGCAATCCTCCTGCCTCAGCCTCCCCAGTGCTGGGGTACAGGTGTTCACCACCATGCCCAGCTGAATCACTTCTCCTGTCCCTAAACTCTACAAGTGTGCATTTTCCAAGGACACTGACTTTTCCAAATTGTTCCAAAATACCCTGCACCCCTTTTTTTGAGACAGGGTTTCCCTACATTGTGCAGATTGGCCTTGAACTCTTGCACTCATTATGTAGCCCAGGCTGGCCTCCAACTTACAGCAATCCTCCTGCCTCAGCCTCCAGGAACTGCAGACATGTATCATGGTGCCCAGCTCCAAGATATCTTTTATAGCTTTTATTTTCGGCACTAAGGATGCAACCCAGGGTCTTCACATTGACCTACATCCTCAGCCCTTTCCAGGTTTTGTTTGTTTTAAATTTTGACTTGGAGACAGGGTTCTTGCTAAATCGCCAGATTTCCCAGGCTGGGCTCCCACTCACGTGCTTCTTGTCTTAGCCTCCTAGAATGTGCCACCACACCAGGTCCTTTTGTAGCTTTTCTGAGGTGAAGAGCGAAAAAAATAGGATCTCATCAACGTCAACGAACACAGATGAAGAAGGAGGAGGAAGAGAAAGAAGAAGAGGAAGAAGGAGGAGGAGGAGGAGGAGGAGGAGGAGGAGAGGAGGAGGAGAAGAGGAGGAGGAGGAGGAGACGACGACGAAGAAGAAGAAGAAGAAGAAGAAATACAGATTCCAACTCTTCATTGTCCCTCTTCTATTTTCCCCCCTTTTTCTGGAGCTAACCAAGGGATCCCAGTGGCCCCGCCCACTACCGCCACCCCGCCCGCGCCTATCCTCGCTTGCACAGTTGGCTGAGGTATTTTGGCCCAAGCGAGGAGCCGTAGCCACAGTCTCCTCCGGCGTCCGGAGCTGACTGTCCAGCGCCAAACTCAGGCGCAGGCTCGCGATGTCCGAAGACGAAACCCGGCAGAGCGGAGGTTCCTCTGAGGCCCGCGCGGCGGCTGTCAGCGACATCCAGGAACTGATGCGGCGCAAGGAGGACATCGAGGCGCAGATCAAAGCCAACTACGACGTCCTGGAGGGCGTGAGTGTGGGCCGGGGCCGGGGCGCAGCCGCCATCCTGGTGCCCGCGCGGCCCGCTCGGCTCCCGGCGCCTTTCCCGGCTGCCGGGCTGCCTGCCCAGCATTCGCTCGTCCTTGGTTTTGTTTTTGTTTCGAGCCACGGTCTCTCATGGTGTCCAGACTGGCCTTGAGCACACTGTGTAGCCCAGGCTGGCCCGAACGCGTCCTCCTGCCTCAGGCGCCCGCCCCGAGACCACGGGCGTGCGCCCCCGCGCCCGGGCCCAGCGACCCTCGCAAGTCGGTGCTTGTGCCCAGATACCCAGGTCTGGCCCGACACAAACGGGGCTATTTTTTTTTTCCTTTTTTATCTCGTATAAAAGCGCAGACCAAAGTGCAGGGGAAGGGTGGGTTAATTCCACTCACATAGGCTGGACTGGGATGCGCTTAGGGGATGGCGACAAGCTACAGGACTGCGGGGAGGCCCGGGTGGCGTTTTCTGCCTGCCGCCTGTGTCGCATTAAGGCTTGCGAGTCGGTTACATCATGAAGGACTCACAGCCCCGGAGGATCGCAGAGGAAAAGTCGCCTAGTCACGAGCAGGAGTCAGACCTGCCGCCTGTTACATCCACAATCTGTTTTGAAGCGAGTTGCCAGCAGTTTCAAAAAACTGAAGTTACTTTTGCCTTTAGCCGGACCATCCCCCTCAGTGGGTTATTCCTTCTATGTTGGCCCATGTGTTCACTTATATATTTCGTTTTTAAATGGAAAATTTATTACCCATGCGTGTGAAAAGTGAGTCTCATAAGTATAAGGTTAAGATGTTTTTTA